TACGTAACTGGAATGTTGTTTATCTGTTTGTGGCGCCTTTATAAGTATGACTAGAAATTATTGAGAATTTTAGGAATATGTTTAATTGGATTTCTAGTATAAACAACCTTGACCAGCTATCAAGTGCTTGGTTTCATTCAAGAAAGACAACTCCGTTAATCCTTTTTCATTAGTTTGTGAAGAGTTATCCCCCTTTGTTTACTTGCTAGCAGACGACATTTTCAGTGATCCTCAGTATGGATGATTTAGAGAAAAGGGAGTTGATTTTAGAGTATTATAACAAGGACATCAGATCAGCTAAAGTGATTTCAAGTAGAACAGGCATCCCTTTGTCCACTGTTTATCGTGTTTTGAAAAATATTGCAAATGGATATGGCATTGAGCACCAGGGAGGCACAGGTAGGCCCAGAAAATTGACTGTCGGTGACAGGAGGCGGCTTGGTATTCTTGTTTCTAAAAACAAAGGAAGGAGTTTAGAAAACTTAAGGCTGGATATGATTGATAGAGGAACTATGGCTGTCTGTAAGGAGACAATTAGAACTGAGCTGCATGCAATGGGTAGGCAGAAAAGTCGAGGAATTCCATCACCGATCATGAAACCTGAACAAAAGGAGCGAAGGTTGAACTGGTGCTTACAGCATATTATTTTAACTGGGACAATGTTATTTTCTCAGATGAAAGTTCTGTGTGGCTGTTTCCTAATACACTGAAATTCTAGACCAAACAAACTGAAAAACCTTTGTATCAGCACCCAAAGTACGGTCCGAAATTTAACGTGTGGGGTGGCATATCTGTGTTAGGGGCAACGCCCCATTGTGTATTTGAAGGGAATATGAACAGTGAGCGGTACACAGATATTCTCGAGGGACATTTACTTCCATCTGCTCACGTGTTCTATGGACATTTTTGGATTTTCCAGCAGGACAACGACCCAAAACATCGTTCAAAGCATTCACAGGCCTGGTTTCGGACCCAAAATATGTCATTATTAGATTGGCCAAGCTATAGCCCTGACCTAAATCCAATAGAAAATGTTTGGGGATTTATGAAGGAAAGTGTCAATAAGAAAAATCTGACAAATATTGCTGAAATGAAAGAAGAGGTGGTCCGATATTGGGACAGCATGGACCACGACTTTCTAACTTCATTGATCAGTAGTATGCCCCGCCGCATTGAAGCCTGCATTGCTGCCCATGGTGACTTGAGAAAATACTAACTGTTCACCTGTCTTTGAATCTGGAGTTATGTTCTGCTAATATTCACATTTAATACGTGAGTAATGAGGGGGAACAAAAATAATTTACAATCTTTAAATTCTCAATAATTTCTGGTTGTACTGTAAAATTAAACGGGCGACAAATATCAGTACTTTCATGAATGAACTGAAAACGACGTAACGAATTATCGAGTTTAACATGGTTGTTGCACAGAGAGTAAATAACTTGGTTGTTGCAGGCACTTTCACACGGGTGGGTGCACGGAGTGTAACATGGGTGGTTGCACGCAGTGTTACATGGTTGTTGCGTACGCAGTTTCACACGGGTGGTTGCACGGAGTGTAACATGGTTTTTCCATGCAGTGTAACATGGATGGTTGCACTCAGTGTAACATGGTTTTCATGCAGTGTCACATGGGTGGTTGCACGCAATATAACATGGTTGTTGTGTACGCAGTTTCACAAAGGTGGTTGCACGGAGTGTGTAACATGGTTTTTCCATGCAGTGTAACATGGATGGTTGCACGAAGTTTAATAAGGTTGTTGTGTACGCAGTATCACACGGGTGACTGCAGGGAGTGTAACATGTTTTTTCCATGCAGTGTAACATAGATGTTGCACGCAGTGTAATATGTTTGCTGTGTACGCAGTTTCACACGGGTGGTTGCATGGAGCGTAACATGGTTTTTCCATGCAGTGTAACATGGATGGTTGCACGCAGTGTAACATGCTTTTTCCATGCAGTGTAACATGGATGGTTGCACGCAGTGTTGGATGGTTGCATGCACGCAGTGTAACATGGTTTCTCCATGCAGTGTAACACGGTTGGTGGACGGAGCGTGTAACATGGTTATTCCATGCACTGTAACATGGGTGGTTGCACGCAGTGTTTTATTGTTGATGTGTACGCAGTTTCACACGGGTGGTTGCACGGAGTGTGTAACATGGTTTTTCCATGCAGTGTAACATGGGTGGTTGCACGCAGTGAAATATGGTTGCATTGGCTGCATTGAGCTGGGGCAGCCCCGTGTGTGTGTGTTTACGTGTGCAAGCGAGTGTGTGTGTGTGTGTGTGTGTGTGTGTGTGTGTGTGTGTGTGTGTGTGTGTGTGTGTGTGTGTGTGTGTGTTCAATATATTATTGCATATATTAGACTTGTCTGTGTTCTATTTTGCTGGTTCAAAGGGGATTCTTAAACCTTTTGTCACGGCACATTATTTAACTGTAACAACATGTTCGTCAACGTCAAAACACGCTTCAGGCACTTCCACAATTGGCCATCGCATTGCCGGAAGAGTGGGGAAGAATCTCACAAGAGCGACTTCGTCGACTTATCCAGTCTGTGCCGAGAGGTATCGAGCAGTAGCTATATGCTGCCAATGGTGGCTATACAAAGTACTGACTTTGATGCCATCTTGTGAACTCAAGTAAACAGAAACACACCAATAAAAGCTACCGTTATGTTAGCGAACTCTTGGTCAAAAACATGTGAATTTTCACCTTATTACCATTGAAATTACATGAAATAATTGCTCTTAAACTAACGCAATAAATTCTTCTAGAAACTGTTTATGCGTTTCTTTTATGGAGAGTGTATATGTTGTGGGGGCGAGGTCACGGGGGAGGGTGGGGGGCGTAGTTTACTGACAATGTACAGGTGACGTCAGTGAACTATACATGATACTAAGCGTTATTGCCTAGTAAGTGATAACTTCCCTTCTATCGCTATCTAATATGATAACATTTATTACAGTGTGAGTAACTGTATCCGAGGTATATACGTGCCCGCTATACTACGCGTGATGCTAAATTCAGCTGAATCAGCAAGAAGCATTATCACCTCTTCGTATCTAATAGAATTATTTGTATTACATCATCCTCATGGTTCACACGGGCGGTGGGGTAGCCTAGTGGACAAAGCGTTCGCTCGTCACGCCGAGGACCCGGGTTCGATTCCCCACATGGGTACAATGTGTGAAGCCAATTTCTGGTGTCCACCGCCGTGATATTGCTGGAATATTGCTAGAAACGGCGTAAAACTAAACTCACTTACTCACTCATGATTCACACGATATTCAAGGATATACTCGATTACATATTTTTGGAAAATATTTACGTTAAATGTTTATTAATCATCATAACAAGTCAAATAAATTGGCATATAAAAAGGCATACATTTCGCGGTTAATTTCTCATATCATACGATTTCATGTTTCATGATTTCTAATCATAACAAACCGTTCGTTGTGTAACTTTTACACAAGCTTAAAAATATATCAATATATATTTATGCTGTTCAGATAATAGGCACCCGTGAAGATCTGGGTTAGAATTGATCTTCAGTAACCCATGCTTGTCGTAGGAGGCGGCTAACGGGATCGGGGGGTCAGGCTCTCTGATTTGGTTATACATGTCGTCGTATCCTAATTAATCGATGCTCATGCTGTTGATCACTGGATTGAATCCCCCAGACTCGATTATTTACAGACCGCCGTCATGTAGCTGGCATATTGCTGAGTGCGGCGTAAAGCTAAACTAACTCGTTTCTTCACATACTGTTTCCCAAAAGTTGTTATTTCAAAAATATAAAAATAACAATGTTAAAACAAAACCAACAAAACCCCACCACCACCACCACCACCCAAAACCGTAGAAATTTATTCTACACTTACCAGTGTCTGTTATTTGTCAGCCGTATAGTATTTTCAATGGGAAATGGGAAATTTATTGTTTTACTTCTCTGTGTAGTTTTATAGACGGATGTAATTAATGAGGAGTGCCGAACGCAATTCTTGCACAATCTTTTCTTTTAAAAACAGGGGAAAAGATTGTGCAAGAATTGCGTTCGCGCGGCACCTCATTAATTTTCTTTTAAAAACAGACCCGTGAAGATCCGGGGTAGAATAGGTCTTCAGCAACCCATGTGCTTGCCATAAAAAGGCGACTATCTTGTCGTAAGAGGCGACTAACGGGATCGGGTGGTCAGGCTCGCTGACTTGGTTGACACATGTCATCGGTTCCCAATTGCGCAGATCGATGCTCATGCTGTTGATCACTGGCTTGTCTGGTCCAGACTCGATTATTTACAGACCGCCGCCATATAGCTGGAATATTGCTGAGTGCGGCGTAAAACTAAACTCACTCACTCACTCACTCAACTCACACTTTTAAAAACATGAAAATGTGGGCTAGAAAAATAACTCGGTATTCAGCGAGTTGACTATATATAACTACCATGTTACATTCAGATAAAATCAAAAGTAAATGTCCATATTTATACAGTTTATAACACGACACCCCATGTCGTCGTCGCCCAGACAGCGGAGGTATATAGTTTGACCTTTAACACCGCCGGGTTACAACGAGTCTAAAAATAGAACAAAGCCCACCTGTTTTGCGTTCACTGCGCAGTTATATGGAGTGTTAATAAATGCTCGCTTAAAGGTTTCGCTGACGACAAACGAAATAACTGTGAAGACGAAAAGGAATCAGAAATGTGTCACCAACACCTGAAATTCCATCGAACGAACCAGAATAATCTCACGCGCATCCTTTCCCATATGTATAACCGACTTCGTCCGTCACCGTTATAAATCCCCGTTATAACGCGAATCCTTTGTCGTTCTGGGTGTGAGGGTTTTTGTAAGGTGATATGTGCGCCTGTATGTCTGACACGTCAAAAACATGTTTACTGAAAGGTAAAATTATTTAACCTTTGGGCTGTGAGACACAGATTTTCCAGCAATCGCGCTGTTTCCTCATAACTGATCAGCTGATTTCTAAGGCAGGGGTGGTCACGTGCTCAGCGCACGCCTGCATCCAGTCATTGTTGGTAGTGTACAGCATATGATCACAGCCCGGCTCACTGATGTCGGGGAAAACGTAACAACATTGGTTATTTCACCGGATACCATATTACACGAGTGGTGAGTACCTTTCATCTGTTATCGCCATTTTTGATTCCCTCCTTGAAGTATGGTGTTTCTAAGGCAACGGCCGTCGTCGCATCTTTAATGCGTCGATTCGGACATCAGTGATGGGGGGGCTTCTTTGTGTTGTGGTCAGACATGGTCACCAAGATGGTTACCACTGTTGGAATTCATTATAGTGAAAGCCAGGTTGTGTATGAATTACGAATTCATGACACATGTTTTTGTTACATATCGATCCTATGGTAACGAGTAGAGACGGTTGGAGTGTTTACTACTAACCAGCGTGAAAAAGGATTGGGTACAACTGTCAAATTAATTTTTTTTGGTCCGTTTGATCAGGTTACAAATAAGACAAGGTGACCAAACCAGGAATATTGTATGTTATGAATGATGTCATTTATATGATAACAACGTTTGGCTAAAACCCCATCGTGAGTTTGTGTACGTCGTAGAACATCTGTACGGGGGGTCGCCCTCATTATAAGGAGAATGGTGGCGGAAGACACCTGTTTGTTTCCTTCACGGTGAGATACCTCCAGTGTACGTTCCGCTTGAGTGCGTGAATATAGCCATGTTAAACTATGCTGGAAATATGAGTTGATAATATTGTATGTTATTCGAGATAGTTCGCGGTGATTCATGATGAGGGTTTTTCTTATAGTAGTGGGAAGAAAGGATATTGGTGATGTTCTTCTCCATCTTTAGTCGTCTCTCATCTTCCTACCCCATCTGGATCTTTTCTCTTCCGGTTCGTCCATCCTTCATCTTTCCCCATCTTCTTTCTTTCATTCCCTTTCTTTTATTCGTCCCTCCTCTTCCATCCTTCCATCCAGATCTTCCCGATATTCCCTTCATCATTCCGTCCTCTTCGACCGTCCATCGTTCCCTCTTTTATTGTCCTTCCGTCCGTAATGGACCATAACATCCCGTGATCGATACGGTGCGCAAAGATCAACGCTGACTGGGTACGTTCTCACCCAATCAACCAAGTCATCGAGCCGGACAACCCAATCCATTCTTTCGGCTCGTACGGTTGTTTGTTGTCTAATCCAGTTCTCGGCAGCTGTCCTGCTGTATGGCGGCGGTCTGTAACTAATCGCGTCATAACTAGACAATCAAGTGATTGACATCATGAGCATCGATTTCACTCAATTTGGATAACATGACCTGCATCAACCAAGTCAGCGACCACCCGATCCCGTTAGTCGTCTCTCACATTTTGGTTTGGTTGTTGTTACACCCCGCACTCAGCAATATTCGAGCTATACGGCGGCGGTCTGTAAATAATCAAGTCTGGACCAGACAATCCAGTGATCAACAGCATGAACATCGTTCTACACAACGGGAATACTATGACATGTGTCAACCAAGTCAGCGAGCCTGACCACCCGATCCCGTTAGTCGCCTCCTACAACAAGTGGGTTGCTGAAGATCATTTCTAACCCGGATCTTCACAGGTCGTCTCTTATGACAAGCATAGGTTGCTGAAGACCTAACCTAGAACTCCACGGGTCGCCTCTCACCACCAACATGGGTTGTCTGGGGCCCTTGTCTAATCCAGAATACCCTTGAGCCGCATAGAGATTTCATTATAGCAGTGGCCTGTGTATCTATGTTCAGTGACGTATGTAGACGCATATTAATGAAAGTAATGTGATAGGTAGTCATGTCATGAAACACATCATCTTCATATTACGGCCCTCGTGATTCATTACAGCTGTAACCAATTCCCTGTATCGAATGCTTAAATACCAGGCCCAGTGTTCCTGGACCATTCGTTGTTCATGCTAACAGACAATGGTGTTCCTGGGCTATTTGTTGTTCATGCTAATGGCCAATGGTGTCCTGGACCATTCGTTGTTCATGCTAACAGTCAATGGTGTCCTGGACCATTCGTTGTTCATGCTAACAGTCAATGGTGTCCTGGATCATTCGTTGTTCACGCTAACAGTCAATGGTGTCCTGGACCATTCGTTGTTCATGCTAACAGTCAATGGTGTCCTGGACCATTCGTTGTTCATGCTAACAGTCAATGGTGTTCCTGGACCATTCGTTGTTCATGCTAACAGTCAATGGTGTCCTGGACCATTCGTTGTTCATGCTAACAGTCGATGGTGTTCCTGGACCATTCGTTGTTCATGCTAACAGTCAATGGTGTTCCTGGACCATTCATTGGTCATGCTAACAGTCAATGGTGTCCTGGACCATTCGTTGGTCATGCTAACAGTCAATGGTGTTCCTGGGCAATTTGTTGTTCATGCTAACAGTCAATGGTGTTCCTGGACCATTCGTTGTTCATGCTAATGGCCAATGATGCTTCTGAACCATTCGTTGTTCACGCTAACAGACAGTGGTGTTCCTGGACCATTCGTTGTTCATGCTAATGGCCAATGGTGTTTCTGAACCATTCGTTGTTCATGCGCACATTAAAGTGTGGTCCTTGCCCATTCGGTGTCCATGCCAACAGCAATTGGTGTTTCTGAACCACCACTAACAACCAGTGGTGTTATTGGCCCATTCGTTGATCATGGTAACACCCAGTGGTGTTCCTATCCCATTCGCAGGTATTGCTAACAGCCAGTGGTGTTACTGCCCAGGCCCCACGACTATCAACCAGTGGTGTTCCTGGCCAAACGTGTCTTGTCATCAACCAGTATTGTGTTCATGTTCACAACTTGTAGCGTTCACGACACACGTTTAATTGAAATACACCCCTTCGTAATGACCGTGGAATACTGTTGATGATAATAGACAACAGGAGTGTAACTTTACAAGTAGAGGTGAGACGATACAGAAATTTCACGATACGATACGTATCGCGATATCTTGGAACGATACGATTCGATTCGATGCATATCACGTTATGCCTTCTTTAGTTATTTTCTTTAAAAATCATATTTTAATAGTAAGAAATTTTGACTTAACCGTCAATATCTAATGAAAATTAACAATTTTAAGGTCAACGATACATATCACGATGCGAAAACACGTATCGATATATTTATCGTCAGATAAAGTATCACGATTATCGATACTACGATATATCGTCACAGCACTATTTACAAGTACCTCTGATTCTTCCATATAATGGGATAGCCAGATAGATTAGACTGATACGTCAAGCTTGTTTTGTGTAATAACGGGGCCGATTCAGCAAATATTTTTTATATCAAAATAATTCGCAATATTCGTGCCTATCGTGCGTAAGAGTAGCGTGATAAATGCGCTCGGTCGTCACGCTAAACGTTCGGGTTCGTATCCCAACATGTGTGAAAGTTTTAAAGGACTTTTCGGTCGTAACCCTCGTTGTAAGAACGGTATGAAAGTCATTGACATCACTGTACCAACAAGTCACCAATTAATCGCTTATGTTTAGATGTATTCCAAACCTCGTTTATTGATTATTATGTCTCTCGAACGTCTGTCGGGAATGCATCTGGCTCGTGTTTCAATATTTTGTACTGTTACATTAATGATATCTGGCGTATATTTAAGTGTAATGTCTATGTCATATGTGGGGCTTCGAGATATGACACATTTTTCGATAGCAGGGTCGCGATACTACTGATAGCAAAATCGACATTTGCTATGTGGTGTGAGTGAGTGAGTGAATGGATAGGTGAGTATGTAAATTGGATTGTTTGTTTGCTGTTTTACGCCGCACTCAGCAATATTCCAGCTATATGACGGCGGTCTGTAAATAATCGAGTCTGGGCCAGACAATCCAGTGTTGAGCATCGATCTACGCAATAGGGATTCGATGACATGTGTCAAGGGTCAGCGAGCCTGACCACCCGATCCCGTTAGTCGCCTCTTACAAGCATGGTTTACTGTAGATCAATTCTAACCCGGATCTTCACGTGTCGAGTATATAAATGAATGGGTGAGTAAGCGAATGGATGGATGAGTGAGTGAATGGATGATGGGTGAGTGAGTGAATGGATGGGTGAGTGGATAAATAGATGGATGGGTGAATGGATGGATGGGTGAGTGAATGGATGGGTGAGTGAGTGAATGGATGGGTGAGTGGATAAATAGATGGATGGGTGGAGTGAATGGATGGGTGAGTGGATAAATAGATGGATGGGTGAGTAGATAAATAGATGGATGGGTGAGTGAGTGAATGGATGGGTGAGTGGATAAAAAGATGGATGGGTGAGTGAATGGATGGGTGAGTGTATCAATAGATGGATGGATGGGTGAGTGAATGGATGGGTGAGTGGATAAATAGATGGATGGATGGGTGAGTGAATGGATGGGTGAGTAGATAAATAAATGGATGGGTGAGTGGATAAATAGATGGATGGGTGAGTGAGTGAATGGATGGGTGAGTGGATAAAAAGATGGATGGGTGAGTGAATGGATGGATGAGTGAGTGAATGGATGGATGGGTGAGCGGATAAATAGATGGATGGGTGAGTGAAAGAATGAATGAGGGAGTGATTATAGCATATCGAATCGTCGTGATGTCGGATAAAAGCGGACGCGCACGTGCGTGTATATCTCTATCATTGTCTTGTATTCCGATAATCGTATGGTAGTATGCGGTATATCGTCGATCGTACTCGCTGCAGCCTTATCCATATGTATAGTATTAATCACCCCTTAGAAATCATCTGGATCCTGGGAGTTTGACAGAACTGTAATATTTACAGCTATTCTGTTCGTGGTTACTGCAAATGAACAATATAAACATTCACATCCCCATTAGGATCGTCCTTTTATGAAATAACTCATCACTAACTCACAAATATTGCAGACACTCGCTTACACCCAATAAATACAACTATTCTCGACAGCAGCTGGCGGTGCTGTGGGATTATCCCGAGAGCCAGGAATTCCGTCGCAGAATCTTCTGTGGCGGTTCCAGTCTGTCGATCGATTTGTCTGTTTGTTCTGGTAACACATCTTATCACCTATCAGTCAGGCATTCACCAGGCAGTCAGCTGCGTCCTTAGCGACAGATTCACACGCGACAGAAAGATCTTGACCTT